TTATTGATTACATCTAATCATCGTTATTGACATTCATTCTCTATAACAAAGTGAACTAGCCACTTTCTGTAACACCAACATTCACATTAACCAGGCCTTTCAGAAGTCAAGTCAGTGAGGAAACTTGCATTTTACTCATTCCAAACTTGTACAATTGACTCTTCGCAAATGAAATTTTCAGCTGAAAATGTATGCTGAACATATGATATGCATCTTCAAGTGTCATATTTTAAAAATTGTTCAATCTGGTAAAAAGCCTCATTTACTTAAAATATTTTTAATTTCAGAAAACAAGGGGTAAGTGCTATAAAAATCAAAGCATTCAAAATGCCAGTTTCACATCAATAATGCTTTGACTTGCTAGTGAATCACTTAAAACTGTAGTGAGGACAAAGGAACTGTGAGCAGAACACCTTTTGCTTCCCTAACAAATCATACCTGCTTCATTTTCCAAACTAAACCCATGAGCCAACCAATATATTACCTGCATCATGGTAGCACAAATATTTATCCCAGTGTCAAAGTCTGATGCCCAGAGTCCCACTCATTCTGCAACTACCACTAATTTGGTCTTGGACTTCTGTTATGTTCCTCATTCTTGCGCTATGCTTCTCAGTACATACTTGACTGTGTAGGCAAAGGCTGCAAAACCAACTATAACAAACAAGTTCGCCAATGCTCCTCCTAAGAGTCCATGGTTACGATTGGCCTGCTGAAGACCTGGGTGATTTGCAGCTGCCAGTGGTACGTGCCCATTAAGGAGCGGTATCCCATTTTGACCATGGTGTGCTTCCCCATCTGGGACAACATCCGGTAACGGAAGGGATGGAGGTCTGTTATTGAGCTCTTCTTGTGCTTTCTGTTTTTGTTTGATCTCCTGGAGGGAAAAAAATGAAAGGAATCATTGGAAGTGAAGTGGATTAAGCTTTCTGGCAAGTCACCTTGGGTCTTATCAAAAAGTCTATCCACGCAAAGAAGTGAGACTGATGCAGAAGATACTCCTTCTTCATGTATATCCAGGTGCAGCTCCACAGAGACAGCTTCTTGCTCATTTTTTATCCATAATGAAGTTATAAAAGTTAAGAGATTGAAGGTCATATAGTCTACTGGTCCCATCTAGTCCTGGATTGTTGTTCCATATACTATATTTTCCAATGCTCTGTATCACTCTATATGTCCTAAACAATGGGGTTTGCACAATTTCTCTTGAGGTAACTATTTCACAGAGTAATGAACTTCACTATTAGCAACCTTTCCATAATATTCACCCTAAATGCTTTTCTCTTAATATAACCCCATTATTTATTTATAACCATTTGAAAAGACCTAAAAAAAAATTCTTCACATTCTTTGGAGGTTTACACCTTCAAATATTTGCAGACAGTAACTACAACACCTTCTCGTGGTCATCATTTAGCCAAATGATGTTTAGTTTTTAAATGTTCACTTGTACATTTTCTATACCTGGTTTAAAATTTGATTTTTTTCTGAGAATTGGAACACTTTTTTTCAGAAAATGTCTTTTAAGACTGCCTCTATATTTGCCACTACGAAGACCCTTGAGTGGGATAATGTAATTCAAGTACTTTAAGAGTTATGAATAATCCAACAATTCTCAAAGAACTGAAATGGAAGAAACAGGAATCCTCAAAGTATCATCTCATAGTTAGGGCCCCAAGTAAATCTCTTACAAGTTAAATGTATAGATACTCAGGTTCTGACAAGAATATCATTACCACTATAGGGTATCAAACTGCACATCTTAATCATTTTGGGGCTATCAGGAAGAGAGCACTGTGAAGGATGGAGGATCTCATGTTCTCTGGTAACTCTGCTAGTTGATTATAGGGAAAGCAGATTCCAATGCTCCAGTCCAAGACTAATTATGAGGGGAGGAGGAAGTGGAGATGAGACCCCAGAGCTAAGAAGGACCCAATGGGGAAAAAAAAAAAAAAAGGCTAAAACTGCACTATGGAATGTGTTCAGATGTGTAATGGAGAATGTAGGTAATCAAACTCTGAAGTCTAGATCGATTTGATGCACTGTGTTTCGAAAGCCCTGATGGGAGGTCTGGACCTACTGACTGATTACTTGGCCCAGAAATTCCCTTTGTGCCTATGAATACTGCGAACAGCATTAGCCAGGCTCGCTTTGTGCTTCCCCGTGCTTGCATCCAAATTATGGCTGCCTCCCCTGTATGAGTCCAATGGGAGGAAGTGCTTTCTGTAGATTCTCTCCCTTCTCTAGCACATCCACATTGGACTGCTGAAATCTGTCCCTAAATGTACAACTTTTGATTCTCCAAGCAACAGATCTTGGTATTTAAATACAGAATTTTCTACACTGAAAAAAACAGGCTGCTTTAGAGGGGTCGCCAATTGGACACCCAAAATTGAGGAACCTAAAAGTGACTAGTCACTTGAAAATCTTGGCCAATTAATTTGCATAATCTGCATATTTACACAGCGATAAAATGTGAAAGCCAGAAATAATCAAATGAACTTTCTTACCTCCACCACTTCAGGGAACAGCTCACAGAAGACTTTATCTTTTAAATTAAATGCTAAGCTTTGTGCAGCAAGCTGTCTTTTCTATCAAGGAAACAAGAAAGGAACATCAGCTTGAAAGTTCAATTTTAAAATATACATTAAGCATTAAAGCATCTGGAGGATATTTCATATAAGAACGCTAAAAAGGGGCTAACCTACTGCTTTATAATGTTTGTAGCTACTTCACATTTGTGAATACAGACTCATTGGTAATGACTGTCTATAAACCCGCACTCTTCAGACGTTCTTAACTACATTTTATTTGAATGCTTTTCCATTCTGTGTCTGCCCAATGGTAATTGGGGGGTGAGTGAGGGGGAGCAGAGGGGAGAAATAGTCCAATAAAGTAGCTACATTTTATGGAGAACCTTCACTTCAAAACAGTCAAAAGGTCTTGTCCAGAAGGGTGAGAAGAAAAGGTTACAAAATCCCTCCCTTGGATTTGAAAGACTGACCTATTCAGCCCAATGTTGAATTCCAACTAACCTATTAATAAAACAAATATTTCAATGTAAAAAATTAGCTTTGTAGTCAGCTTTGTAGTCAGAAGCTGTGGCACTTCAGTTACATTTCCCACCCGTGATCCAAACCCTTGACTCTATGCTCCTTTAAACACCCTCATTTTCTCATCTGCCCAATGATTAAATTCAAAGGCAGAGCCAGGTCTAGAACTCACGACTGCTGGATTCCAGTCTTGTGCCTAACCACTGGGACGTGCTCAACATACCCTGACCTCAACAACAACAACAAAAATTAAATTAAATAAAAGATATAATATTATTAGGAGCTTACTGTGAATTCGGAGGTTTCTATGCTGCCCAATGTAGGGCCCTTTTCCACCATAAAACTAAGGAGGCCTGTCAAGATTGTTGAGACTGACCACGCTGGATTCCATGTATCAGGGTGGAAATCAGTGATTGAAAGACACAGCCTTCAAAAAGCAAAACAAGCAGTGCACTTTATTCCTTGCCATTAGTAAAAAGGAAAAATAATACTACGTGTGATACAAGTTTCAAAACAGATGTGAATTAAATCCTTACCTTGTATTGCATTTAAATCTTCCATTAGGAGTTATCATATAAATACTAGGAGGTTTAAAAGGAAATTCTCTGGGGAAAATTAATTTCCCATGATAATAGCCACCTGTATTGTATATAAAAAAAGGAGAGATTTGTTCTGCACTAAGGAAATGCTTTCCTCAAATACTTATAATGTTGCAGCAAATAAGATTTAAAGGAACGTTTACTATAAACACACTCCAAACATTTAAAAACTAATCAACTTAGGCCCTTCACTGATACAAATGATGGTCAGTACCTTTGGGAAAGACATATTTTGTAGATACTATTATTCTGTCATCTGCATAAAGCAAGCAATGTTTTCCAATTGTCAAGTCCTTATTTCATCTACACAGGGTTCTCCCTTTAAACACACATCTGCATAAATGGCAGGGTCTTGCCCTCTGTCATCATGCTGGACCATTTTAAGTCCACTGAAAAATCCAATTTCAGAAGCAGATCCTTTGGGTGAGGCTGGAATATACAGCGAATTATTATATTTAGGCAAATTAATTAGCTATGATACTCAGCCTCTCCAGGGATGAGATTTACAAAAAAGGGTGTATGCCTCAACTCTAGTAAGAGCAGAGTATGTGATAAGCCAGAAATAAGTTTTATTAGCGCTTTCAGTTTTTTAAAGTAAAATCTGACAAAACTGGCTATTTTTAACACTGTTCATCTTGGCTACCAACCAACTGGGCTCCCTGTGTTTTCCAGAAGATCTGTGGCAATCGCTAAAAATCAGACTTCATTAAACAAAGAACTAAGGGTGCCACATAAAAAAAGATCAGAGAGAACTGTGCTAAGACTTTGAGGAACACTAAGGGATTTGCTAGAATTACTTGGTGCTACAGGGAATCATTAGAGGACAATACTAACACTATCTCATTTCAAGAGGCTATTACACAAGTCAAAGGCAAGTATTACAGTTTTATGATTGAAGTAAATCGTTGTGCTCATACACTTAAAACCACTTCTGTTACATAAGAAAGACCCACTCATACAAATATAGATAGCAATATACAGCATGTGCATGCTTTGGCAACAAGCTAATGTTTACCTTCATATGGAGTCATTTCAGGTCCTCGTACAACATAGTGCCTAAAGGAACAAAGGAATTTTGTATTACAGGTGGGAAACCCAACACCTTATGTGCATCAAATTTCCAAAGGGAACACAAAGTATAAATGGATTTATCACCTCAGCTCAACAGCTTCATATTCGTATCCTTTTACTACCCCCTCATAAAAGATTCCAATACAAAAATGAAGGTGTATATGAAGCTCAGACTTGACAACCCAGATGGTCAGGGTCTCTACAATCGTAAGAACGGTTCATTCGGATTCTTACCATTCAAGGATATTAGATGGGAGGGGTTCAGCACAGATATAAGGCACTGGATCTTTTTTAATTCGAAGGTAGTCCTGCTTAAGTCTCTGCGTTGCTGTTGTTGGTGCTCTCTTATTACTGTTGTTGCTCATCTAGTTTTTAAAAAAAATTATAAACAGACATGACCTCAATATAATCTTACCGATAACACGGTTAATGAAAGCAATCCCCCTCAAATAAACGGTGGTCACAACTGGTTCTTACTGACCCACCAACAAGACAGACTGCAGGCAGCAAACTCAATTGCTGTCAACTAGTACTCGACTTTCTGATCCTGAGGACTCAATGCAGTTAGTTCTGTTTAAACAGATTAACAGATACGAAGGCTGGTTTGAACAATGTATCAGAAATGCCAGAGCACTATGTTACAACAAATACACCTGAACATCAAGTCTGACCCTGATTTTATTTGATTGTTTCCAGTACCGAGAAATAATTTGCTTTGTATGTTTATTTTTTCAAAGGGGGGGGAAACACTCCTCTTAATGGTTTTGAATTCTGAGCCAAGGACTACTTTGCACAAACCGATTTTATTTTTTATTTATACTCTGGTAGCACCAAAAGGCTCCAACCCCATTGTGTTAGGCACCACACAAATACAGAATAAAAGTAGTACCTAACTCAAAGACAAGACAGATATAGACAAAAAAGTAACTTGTCAAAAGTACAACACATTTTCTTCCCAGTTTTCCCTTTGCATAACAACCCCCCCCCCCACAACTCCAGTCTGCCAGTCAACCTGCCTCACAGTCCCTCATGTCCTCCTTGCATCCTCCTAGTAGGAAAACACGCAGCCTACTTCAAACCATCCTTTCTGAATAGCTAGTTCTCCAGTGATTTTCCACTTTTCAGACCTAAAAGCTTTTTAAAAGAAGTTCCACTCAAACCTCTACATATGGTGGATTCTTAAATATCATCACCACCACACTGTATGTATAAATGGCAAATTTAGAACATCCTGTTAGCCAGCCAGTTTCCAGAGATAACCCATTCATGGCTCAGAGGTTTCTTTAAACATTAAAATCAACCAGAGAAGACTGTTACCCGAGAGTAGCAGTTACTGTGAAGACAAACAAAAATAAATGACACGAATGGCTCTGCATTATGCAAGGCACCTTGAAAAATCAATCTGGTTTTGTGCCAGAGCACAAACTGAACAGATTGTGATGGCTGATACTCTTGACATGCTAAGCACAAGATCCGCACAGCAGGGCCACTAGAAAGACTACTAAGGGACACTGTGCACATGAATTTTAAGACATGTTTTATACATTCAAGCTCTTGCATACCTTTTTGTACTTTGATTTTTAAAATAATGTCCCCAATGGAGAGAAAAAGACAGTCATTTACTTTCATAAAAACTAATTAGTGTGACAATATGTTAACAGACCTATTTTCTCTCCACATTCAATGTTATCTAAAAATTAGAAATGGAAAAACAAAACCTACATTTTTACTGAACACAGTTTTGTAAAGTTGAACCTCCAGCCATCTGGAGCAGGGTTTTTAGCAGCTAAATTCCTCAAGAGTTGAATTCATTTCTTGATTCAATATGTGTTTAAAGCAAAATTAATTTTTATCTGTGCTACTTTTGACTCTAAAACCTTTGAGAAACCCATTATGAAACATACTGACTTTTGGGCGAAAGATGCTAAAATAAGAATCATGTTGTCGTCTGCTTTAAGACCCATTAAATCAACAGAAAAGGCATTTTCAAACCGAGTTATGTGCCCTCAGATGCACACGCAGCTCCTACTGAAATCAAAGCTGTTAGTAACAAAGGGAAGTCTCATGTCTCTCCTGGGAAGAAGGGAAGCAACTCCCCTTCTCAACTAACATCTCTAGAATATACACCAATTAAAAGCCTGCCATTCAACTTTTTTCATACAATAAATCATAAAATCAAGAAAGTCACTTGGCCTTATTCTTGGAAGTTTGACAACTTTTATAAAGGTATGAGACAGTGCTCATTTAATGCTATGGGAGACACTGAAGTAAAAGAAAATCCTATAGACAACTTTCAGATTTTATTAGGACTATATTATTACATGGTGTCCCTTGAAATCTGACTAGTGTACAAATGGATGTATTCTCCCAAAAAACTAGTTTTATGTGCCTTAGGATAAAGAAAAAAGAAATACAGAGAAAATAACTGTGGGCTGTGGTGGGTTTTGTTTGCTTGTGTCTTTTTTAAAAAGGAGAGTAAAGTTATACTACAGGTTTGACATGACATCTCATTAAAATAATGAGCAGAGAAATTTACAGCTGACCGATGCTAAGGATGAACAAATCAGTACTCAAGGATATATCACTGTTAGGCTGCATTCCAAGGGTGGTTCACAACGCTTGCTAAAATTTCTGTTCTACCTAAAAAACTGTTATTGCTGGTAAGGATGTAGGCTACCAGAGTTAGCTTTTACCAAGCTTTCTTTATCTGTGAAT